TGAAAGCCAGTTCTGGGCCCACACCACCAGCACCAACTGATGAGCACAGATCATCCTGGGCTCTTAGGACAACGAACCATGGGTCCAAACCTTCCACATGAGCAGAGCTACCTTCATGGACATCATTGCCTAGTTGGCCCCCCACATTGCTTGCTAGGATATCAGCATGTGACCATCCCTCACTCCAGAGAAGCAGATGGCCATTGTCATCATGAAGCTGGCCACCTCCAGCAGTTACTGCTAACTTCACCAACCAGTTTGTCATGGATAAGACCATGGCCAGAGTGGCCATCTGGGAAGTGTGCCTGGTCATCCAGGATGTCCTAGCCAACCATTTCCTTTGCCTTGTCAACTCGCAGGAGGTGGTCACCAACTTCTACCTCATGGACTTCCCCAACTCCATGGGGGCCATGGATGGCACACACACCCCCATCCTCTGCCCAGCCCAGGCCACCAAGGCATTTATCAAACACAAGGGCTACTTCTCTGTTGTTCTGCAGGGTGTCATCGACCACCAGGGCCTCTTCACCCACATCTTTGTTGGCTCATTAGGCAGTGCCCATGATACCTGTGTCCAGAGCCAACCTGAGCAGGGTGCAGGGCCTGAGGCAAATCAGCTCGTGCAGGGCCCCGCCCCCACACTGATCCTGTGTGCCCTGCATGTAAAGTAGCCACCGCTGGGGAGTAGCAAGCAATTGGACATGAAGCCAGTGGCAGCGACACAGAGTCACCATGGCCACTCTTCCCAGCTCTGTGGAGCCCTGCAAAGCACGGGGCCCAGGGCGGTCCCCCCGATTGCCCCCCCCCCCAAGGGACAGCCCTGCCTGTGTCTTCTGCAACTCCCTGCTGACGGAGAGGAGGTGCTACGCTCCTGGAATCCCCATTTCACCATCCATGACATCATCATTACTCCCCCCCTCCCCCCGTGTCGGGAACCTGATTTATCCCTCGTGCCCTGGCTGCTGAAGTCTTATGGGGGGGCAGCTGGATGGACAGAAGGAACATTTTAACTATTGCCTGAGCAAGTGCCACATGACAGTGGAATGTGCTCAGAGTTGACAAGGGGAACCTGACATGACTCATTGTCACTGCATGTGTCCTCCACAATATCTGAGAGACCTGGAGGGGGCGGGGCAAGTGGGAGATCTTCCATGAAGCCTTGGATGAGGAGACAAAGTGCACAGACTGAGCATGGCAGCTCAAGCATACATAGCACAGAGACAGGGAACAGTGTGAGCACCCTGCTGATGCTGGGTGTGCCAGCCTCCAACAGTGGCAGGCAGTCTAGATCTGCAAAGCCTTGGCCAACTATCTCCTCACCCTTAAAAACTGGGAGCCCTCCCCAGATGAGCAGGGCTGGAGAGATTTGAGGGCTTGTGCCCTAGCACCAAGTCATGGGTCCCCTGCCCCAGACTCCTTTGGCCCTGCGTCCTGGGCAGTGCTGCCCACAAGCCAGGCTACCTGGCCTCCCTTCCCCTTCCCCTGCTCAACTCTCCCCAGAGGCACACACTGGGGTGCAAGGTACACGAGGAAGCAATGTGTTTCAGGTTAATATGTAGCAGATGCTAAACTTTTCTTGTGTTTAATAAAGAAAACCTACTGAATGTTGCCCGTGGCAGGACTTGTTCCATCTTCCAAATTAACACAAACCAGCAAACCTTTGGAGGGGGAGGAAGAGGTCTGAAAAAAGTGAGAAAGAACCTGGAAGGGGCGGTTGGGATGATTATCAGAGGGTCACTTACAGCTGCACCTGGCCCCCCCCTGCAGTGGGAAAAACAGTGGCAGGCAGTAGGTGATGTGGGGGCAGGCAGTGGAGGAAGAAGCCAGTAGGGTGAGGAAAGCAACCTAACCCCTGCCACTTGCCCCTTGACACCTTCCCCGCTGCCCACCCACCTTGTGCCTGTGGGCCCCTGCTCCCCTCCATAGGGCCTGCCCCACCCCTACCCACCACACCACCACTTACAGTATGGCTCTGGCAGGGCTCCGGCCCTGCTCCACCTTGGGACACAGAGCACGTACTTGCTCTGGCCCCAGCTTGACAACACACCAGTTGCTGCTGCAGTAGCAGCAGTTCTGGTTGGGCTTTGCAAAGGGAGCCCGGGCTGGAGCTGCTGCCAATGCTGCTATTACTGCTGCTACTGGGCCAGGAAAGGGACAAAGCAGCCACATGTGGTGGAGGGCAGGGGGCAGAGGCAATGCGGGGGGGGGAGGGCAGATGGGTGAATAAAGGCAACAGAGGGGCAGGCACCAGCTGCAACTCCAACCCGTACTCCAACCCGAAAATGAAAGAGTTGATAAACATTTTTAAAATATACCTCCATTTTTTCAGCTAAAATTATTCACTAATTCACCCCAAATTCTTAAATACTTTTATCCCCCCAAATTCCATTTTTCAGTGAACTTAGCACGCTTGAAAAAAATTCAGCCAGCTCTACTATGAATTTCTGGCCCTTTAAAAAGGTATAATCGGGACTACCTTAAGCTAACAAACATCAACATTTTGAAAGTCAAATGGGAATCTTGGTTGTTCCGTTTATGGTCTCTCAAAGGAAACCAACTGAAGAGAAAGTAAATAGGAACTTATTATTCACTCTTTCTGACCATACAAGGGCTAGGGGGTCACAAAATGAACCTAGTAGATAGTAAGTTAAAAACTAACAAAAGGAAGTCCTTTTTCATATTGTGTGCAATTCAAGTGTGGAACTCATTGCCACCAGATGTTGTGGAAACTCATAGTTTAACTAGATTTTAGAAAAAGGATTAGACAAATTCTTGGAAGAAAGGTGCATCAGTACTGAGCATGAGAGTTAGGGGCACAGCCTCCGAATTCAGAACTACCTGGACCTTAAATGCTGGAGGCTACAAGTGGGAGAGGAACTATAGAAAGAACTCCAGTCATATACTGTCCACTCTCCCTTTCAGCATTCACTCTGCCACTGTGTGACACAGGCCTTTTGATGTGCCGTTCCACAACATGGGCCAAAGCCTAACAAGTACAGCTATAAGTCCCTCTTGATGAGGGAGGCTGCTAAGGGCACATCACTGATCTCTTGGGACAAATACAAAACAAAAAAGGGACAGGAGTGAAAGTCAAAAGCTCAAAATGAGTGCACCAAGGGGGCACACTGAGCAGAGTAGACTGGCAAGTGCCCACTGGCCCTTGAATCAATCCAAGGAGCCAGGGGGCACCGCCCAGTGAAACTCTGCCCAAATGCATTAATGGACATGGGATAGGAAAACAGACCCACAGTCCCTATGGGTCTCCCCACTGTGCGACACAAGATATCAGGCAGGATGGACCTATAGTCTGACCCAGTTAATGGCAGATGTTATTCATGTTCTTAACTGTCAGAAAGTACAAACCTACTCTCAAACCTCCAAATTTCTCAAAAGTATTTCAAATCGAGAACATGATATCTTTGGCATCCAGAATCACCAGTCATTCCTGAAATTCTTAGCCAAAATTGGTAAAACAAGCATTTCTGAAACAAACTGAATTAATTTCCATTAAATTACTTGAAATAAATATTACAGTATTAAAATAAAAATATGTAATCAAAATACCACAGCAGTTCACAAGGACAGTGGTTCTCAACTTTTTTAGACTTCACACACCCATTCATAGGCCAGGCATTCCTCACTTGACTCGTGCCCCACTAGGAAAATGCCAGCTCCTGGTTTCCACTCATTTTTTGACTACGGAAAAACAGTACAGCAGTTCTTCTGTTGCAAAGAAATCAGAAAGACCACAATAGTTCACAATGCTTTTAATACTATGGATTTCTCTTTGAAATCTCTGGGTTTATCCTATGAATCATGTTTGCACATCTGCTAGAGATAAGATTGTTTGGCACTCTGTGGAAAAATCACTGCACTAGGACAAAAGAAACTGAAAGTGAAAGTATAAATAATAATGAGATGGAATACTCTATTTTCTTTCTTCCAAATCAGAGAAATGCAAAAAAGTAAAATCATGATGAAGGTTTACATTCTTAAAATGTAATAACTAGGGTGCAATCTGTAACTGAGGTAAAATTTGCTTTCTAAAAGCATGGATTTTTGCTTTCTAAAACCTCAAGTTTCAAACCTAAGGCCATCACAGGTTTCTAGCTAAAAAGTGTATAGTAATCATTAAAACTAGCAGAATTTAGGGTGCGTAGTGGGGAGCATAGAGTTGCTCTTCATTAAGAGTACAAAATTCCAATCCTATCTCTAACCACCTTATACAGCTATTCTCTGCTGGAAATGCACAATGAAATGCATTTACGTGTTCTCCCCACCCCACCAACAAAGTCATACTTCTATGATATAAAATACAGCCCCAACACATTGAAATGCTGCAGCCAAGCCTTGTGTTAGTCCTTGCATTATTCATCCCTGTTTTCAAAAGAAACTAGTGAGGGCCAATTATCCTATTATCTCCATTATATAGGTACAATGAGGAAGAGACCTTAACTACCTTCTTATGTCCCAACCCTGGTAACTGTTAGCAAAAGTAAGCATTATCTCAGCTAAGTTCACATGAGTCAATGAATCAAAAGCACTATATACAAACAAATGCTAACAAGTATTTAAAGACATGATTGTACAAATACATGTAACAGCACAAATTAAAGTTGATTTGCATTACAAAAACTCAGCCAATTAGTGATGAATTTCAATAAGATAGTCAATTTACCAAGTACTTTCATCTATCTTCCCCCAGTACTAAAGTAACATTGTCTTCATCACAAACTAACATATAGATTTCTAAAGGTGGAATTTTAGGAAATTCCCTCCAGTGCCCAAAGTATTTTTTTTCAAAAGCAATAACATTTCTAGAAACAAAATAGCGTGTTTAGAAACAACTGAGAGACATTTTTTTGTGCAAGACCACCAGCTGTGTTTTACAACATTCTTTGTCTGCCACCTTCATTAATATGAACCAGAATTTAAAAATGTTCTTTCTAAAACACAGCAGCAATTACAGATCTTTCTGCATAAAGACTGTTGTAACTTACTAGGTTCAGTCCTGGAAACATGCTTTTGAAGAAAGTCAACTATCTGAGCCAAAACCTTCTTGTTGCAATGGGTAGACAGCTCTTCATCACATTCATAACACCTGAACAAACAAGCAAAGGAAACGGATTAGAATCAGAAAATGTGAGTTAATTTCCCAGATCTAACAAACTTAAGCAAACCATTCAATCTTATCATTTCAGTTCCCTAGCTGTAAGGAGATACCGACAAGCAAAAGTGCAGTATATACCAATGAGTATTAACTTCTCTTCTCTCACTGTCTGATATCTTGTCTAGTTAGCCTCTAATCCTGCGGTCACACCTGGGCAATTTTACTACATAAATAGAACCAATCAAAATCAATGAACCTGCTCACATGCAGAATTATATACATTGTAAATACAGTGATCCCAAAAATTATGAGCTCTGAGGCATGGAGTTCTCTTTCATATTTTCAGAATGTGCTGTATGTGGATTCAAGTATTTGCAACCCTCATGCTGGGATAGAAAAGTTACTCTTCCACTGTCGCCGTTGCCTCTTAATACCATACTTTGCAACTTTTGCTTATCACCAGTGACCCAGAAAGAATTATTTTTCCTCTTTCATGAACACTTTTTTGACTTCTGGAGTTTTATTCCACTGCCCCATAATTAGTGGATGCTGGCCAGAGCCAGTAAACTGGGGGTTTTGACTGGGTTGACTGGTCTCCCTGAAAATACTTAGAAACTTCAGAAGTTCCTGGCTACAGGATCTTACTTTTCTGCTCACGGACACATCAATCACCAAACCTGAGGTCGAGAAGGAATTTTTCTCTCTGGTGAGCACGCGTGTGTGTATACATGGGCATGCATAGATGAAATGGGACACAGGTTGCAGTCATATTAGTGTACAGCCAAAAGAAATCAGAACTTGTGGCAGAGATTATATCTTTTGTTAGACCAACTAGTTTCATAGTTGGTAGAGTTGGAAGGGACCTGAGCAGATCATCAAAACTGACCCCCTGCCATGGCAGGAAAAAGTACTGGGGTCAAACAACCCCAGCAAGGTGTTCATCTAGCCTCCTCTTAAAGACCCCCAGG